TGTGCCTGTGGGTTGCTGGGGGGGGGTGTCCCGGCGTTCCCCGGTTCGCTTCTAGGCGGGGTGTTCTCAGCAGCCTGGCGCCCTCCTGCAGGGCTGAACGGCCCAGCTCTGCTGGAGGGTGTTGTTTCTGTGTGTTCAGTGCTGGGTCCCTTACTGGCAAGACATGAAGGGGCTGGAGCGTGTCCAGAGAAGGGCAACGGAGCTGGGGAAGGGTCTGGAGCACAAGTGGGATGAGGAGCAGCTGAGGGAACTGGGGGTGTTCAGCCTGGAGAAAAGGAGGCTGAGGGGAGACCTTCTCACTCTCTGCAGCTGCTGAGAGGAGATTGGAGCCAGGGGGGTTGGTCTCTTCTCCCAAGGAACAAGCACCAGAACAAGAGGAAATGGCCTCAAGTTGCACCAGGGGAGCTTAGATTGGGAACTGTTTCTTCCTGGCAAGGGTTGTCAGGCCTGGCCCAAGCTACCCAGGGCAGTGGTGGAGTCCCCATCCCTGGAGGGATTTCAAAGCCGTGTAGATGTGGTGCTGAGGGACATGGTTTAGTGGTGGCCTTGGCAGTGCTGGGGTAACAGTTGGACCTGAGGATCTTCAAAGTCTTTTCCAACCAAAACAATTCTACAATTCTCCCTGTCAGGTTCCATCCAGAAGTGCTTCCTTTTTTTCTTTGCTAAATAAGTATAGTCCTGTTAAAGCTGCTGACAATATGAGGATTGCCTTGGGGCAGACAAATGCCTCACTTGGTAGTAAGAAAATCCAGAAGGCTCTTGCAGGACAGAGTGAGAGAGCAAAGAGGTGGCAGGAAACATTCATCCTTATGGAGATCTTTTGATGGCAGCTGGACTCCTCTGTTCTCCCTGAACAGTATCTCTCTCAGTCAGGGGAAGAACCAGGGCTGGAGGGACCTGTTATGACCCTGAACACAGTTCTCTGGCTGCTGAAATGTTCTTCATGGTTTAGTCTGCCCCCCAAAGCCCCTGAACACACAGATCCTGCAGGCTGGAGGTTTTCCATAGGGGAATAAATCAGAGGTTCTTGGCACACCAGCCTCCAAATGGGCAGAGAAAAATGGACACCCAGGGATCCTACTTTTTCCTTCCTTTGCAGAAAGGAAACTGTTCCTGGTAAAGTTCGGTGTTTTAGTTGTTGGTTAATTGGCTAATTTAGGGTGGAGTCACTGTCTACAGCCATTCAGCTGGCTGGGGGCTGTCTGTGAATTCCTCGTTCATGTGACTGTTCTGAGACTCCCTTTCCCTTTCTCCCAGAGCTGCATTATCAAGCGCTACTGTGAGAAGAGATTTGTTCCCAAATACCTGGCGACTATTGGCATTGACTACGGCGTCACAAAGTAAGTCTCTTTGTGGGGAGGAGCTGGTGGGTCTGCCAGGGCCTGGATGAGGTGTCTGCTGCAAGGGGGGCACTGGTCTCCAGAGAAGCAGAGCAAGATGTGAAGTAGGGCTGTCCCATCTTCTGCAGTTCCTGAGTGACCACACAGCCCTGAGCCAGGTGTGCCAAGGCTGCGTTTCTGCTTTGATAATAAGACAATCCATATAAGCAGCCTTCCTCTGGGGTGTAGCTCCCTGTTATCATGTTACACCCAGAGCTGCTGCTGTTCTTCTCTGACCAGCTCGATGGGCAGTTATCTGGCCATTAAAACCTGGTACTTAAAACTTCATAGAATCACAGAATTGTAGAATGGTTTGAGCGAGAAGGACCTTGAAGACCCATCTAGTCCCAACCCCCTGCGATGGACAGGGACACCCCCCCCCAGACCAGGTTGCTCCAAGCCCCATCCAACCTGGCCTTCAACACTGCCAGGGATGGGGCAGCCACAGCTTCTCTAGGAAACCTGGGCCAGTGTCTCACCACCCTCACAGCAAATAATTTCTTCCTCAGATCCCATCTCAGTCTCTCCTTTTGTAGTTTAAAGCCATCACCCCTTGCCCTGTCACTGTATGCCCTTATAAAAAGTTCCTCCCCAACTTCTTCCTGATTTTTCTGTCCCCAGTCATCCAGCTCTTTCTCTGCAGAGGGCTGACAGGGATAAGGGTTGTTCCTGTGGGGTACAGGCTATGCAAGGGCTGAGCTAGAGCAGCCATCTCAAGTGTTTCCCCCTTCTCTTTCAGAGTGCAGGTCAGAGACCGTGAGATGAAGGTGAACATCTTTGACATGGCGGGGCACCCCTTCTTCTACGAGGTAAGGCAGCTCTGGGCAGCCTCCTGTAGGTTCAGCACCCACCAGCTTTCCACAGGTCTTCCTGAAATTGGGTTTGGGGGTATGGAAATCTTGAAATTATATTTTTGGAAGCTTCCTCTGCTACAATACAACACCCGTTCTCTCCTGCGTGGACACCTAGAGCAGGTCAGCATTGGAAACCCCTGCTGCTGCTCTGTCAGCAGTGTCTCCCTGCTTTGAGAGCTTGCCAGATCCAGGAGTCTGACAGAGATGAAGATGTTCCATGCTCTGAAGTCTGTATCCCCACCAGGCACACACAGGCACACCTGTACAAGACATATTTACTCTCTCAGCACAGGAAGGACATGGATCTGCTGGAGTGGGTCCAGAGGAGGCCACAGAGATGATCCAAGGAGAGACGCTGAGAGAGTTGGGGTTTGAGTCTTGATTGACTCAATCTATTTAAAATACACTTTGTAAGCAAAACAACTAGTATGTCTTTCCAGGATAAATCTTTAGGATTTGAACACACAGACTGCCACATCCATTTTGGAGAGCTGGCACAAAGGAATGATTGTGCTCCTTGCTAATCACATGGGTTTTAAATTATGAACAAGGTAATGAAGTAGACCCTCAAGTGGAAGAAAAGAACATTAAATATTTCTCCAGTATAATCACATTGTTTTAACAATATAATCCTTACTGGTTCTTGATCAGAAATAGACTGTTGATGCTTGGCAAAGTGTCATTCTATCATTAATAAAAATGTATAGAATGTTAGGGAAGAGCAGTTTTAACACAATAAATACTAACATAACATAACAAAGTGAAAATGAGAAACCACAGAACCATTCTGGTTGGAAAAGACCTTTCAGACCCTCAAGTCCAGCCATTACCCCAGCACTGCTAAGGCCACCACTGAACCCTGTCCCTCAGCACCACATCTGCAGGGCTTTTAAACACCTCCAGGGGTGGTGATTCATGTTGTGGTTTGTACTGGCCAGGTGGCTGCCTGGCTGTTGACAATTATTTCTCTGGCAGCTCCTAAGCCTCCTATTTCTCCCTTGTGTTCTCAGCATTTGCTTCTTGTGTGTTCTGAAGTTCTGGGCACACTGAGGATTTCAATGTTATTTGTCTCTGTGTGCAGATAAGTCTACAAGACTACAAGTTTTGCCTGGGGTTTATAAGTCCTGATGTAGTACAGGTAACCAGTGACATGTAATTAATGAAGAACAATTTGGAATACACCAGGGAGACTGGGGGATGAAGCTGGCAGCATAAAGAATTTGAGGGACAGAAGACTGCAGAGGGTCTCACCCGATGCAGGTGTGGTCAGTAGGGGTCCTCATAGGACAGTTACCAATTGCAGATGAAGGAGCTGCTTGTGTGTGTTGTCTTTCTGGCTGTGCCACAGCTGATCCATATGAGAGACAACACAGGAAAGATTCCTTTGAAAGGGTAACAGGCTTAAGCTGTGCCAGGGTAGGTTCAGACTGGACATTAGGAAGCATCTCTTCACTGAAAGGGTGGTCAAACACTGCAACAGGCTTCCTAGAGAGATGGTCAATGCCCCAAGCCTGTTATTAGAGCTTAAGAAGCATTTGGGAAATGCCCTTAACAACATGCTTTAATGTCTGGTCAGCCCTGAAGTGGTCAGGCAGTTGGACTCAGTGATGGTTGTAGGTCCTTTCAAGCTGAAATAGTCTTTTCTCTTCTAGTATCTGTCCTGTAGCTGACCTTAGACCCTCATCCAGCAGCTGTCCTGGCAATCCCCAGTATTTCCAGTTGCTGGCACTGGGCACACAAGTCCCAGAGGCTGCAGCCCCACTCTAGCTGCTGTTAAACACCCACATACACAGTCAGGTGTTCTGTGGATCTCTCCAATAGCAAAGCTTAGATATATCCAGTGGCTGGCCCTGCATCCTTGCTGTCCTCTGCTGCCTTATGCACAGGGGCACACACGGGTGTCTCGGTCTACTCCAAGACCTTCCAGTCTGCCCAGGGGTTGGTCCAAAACCTCTGCCATGGTGCATTGGTGCTCCTTGGCTTGGAGGTGTTTCATGGGCTGATCGCTCTCCTCCAACAGCACAGTGAGTGTATTATTTGGTTTCCCCCTCTTTCTGTGATCTCTTTGTGTGGAGTTGAGATTTTTATCACAAAACGAAATAGGTGCCATAGTGATCACACCTTGCCTTGGTCCCTGCAGGTGAGAAACGAGTTTTACAAGGACACACAGGGGGTCATCCTGGTCTATGATGTCGGACAGAAGGAGTCTTTTGATGCACTGGATGCATGGCTGGCTGAGATGAAGCAGGAACTGGGCCCCCACGGGAACATGGAGAACATTGTCTTTGTTGTCTGTGCCAACAAGGTGGGCTGTGGTGGGCAGCCAGGCTATGGTGAGGTCTTAATCTCTGGCACTTGTTGTGTTCCTGGCCTGAGACCAAGCTGTTGAGCTCCAGCTGCAGCAAGGGGAAGGTTGTTAAGTTGTGGGGGAGACTCTGAGAGCCAGATCTGGGTGTGAGGAGCACTGTAGACTGCATTTCAGTGGGGTTTTGGGAATATGGAGGCCACACTTCAGTCAGGAAGGGACCAAGCAAAGTTGGTATTGACTCTGGACTAGATAAACTCTTAAAGGCCTTTTCACTCGAATTTTCTGTGCTTGCTTTCCACACTGCCTCCATCCCTTCAGGATGTACATGGACCTGTTGGAGCGGGTCTAGAGGAGGGCCATGGAAGGCTGGATCTGAGGGCTGGAGCAACTCTGTTCTGGAGACAGGCTGAGAGAGTTGGGGTTGTTCAGCCTGGAGAAGTCTCTGGGGAGACCTTAGAGCACCTTCCAGGACCTGAAGGGGCTACAGGAAAGCTGGGGAGGGACTTTTGACAAGGGCAGGGAGTGATGGGATGAGGGGGAATGGTTTCAAGCTGCAAGAGGGGAGATTGAGATGGGATCTGAGGAAGAAATAATTTGCTTTGAGGGTGATGAGACCCTGGCCCAGGTTTCCCAGAGCAGCTGTGGCTGCCCCATCCCTGGCAGTGTTTCAAGGACAGGTTGGATGGGGCTTGGAACAAACTGGTCTGGTGGGAGGTGTTGCCCTGCCCATGGTAGGGGGTTGCGACTAGATGAGCTTTAAGGTTTCTTCCAATCCAAACCAGTCTGGGATTCTATGAGGATAAGCAAATAGCCTCTCCAACCAGACATGCCCCTTACCTCTTAGCCAATCTGCCCTGGAGCAGTGCTGCTCCAGCTGCTGGGCAGATGGTCCAGGCTGCGCTCTGATCCCTGCCTCTGATCCCGCTCCAGATCGACTGCTCCAAGCACCGCACCGTGGACGAGAGCGAGGGGCGGCTCTGGGCCGAGAGCCGCGGCTTCCTGTACTATGAGACGTCGGCACAAACAGGAGAAGGAATCAACGAGATGTTCCAGGTGAGGTGTAACAAAGGTGGTGAGGGCACAGACGCCATGCTGAGTCAGGATTTTATGGCAGAATGTCTCCTGAACTGCCTGGATCCTACAAAACGTGTTGGCCCTCTGCCTCAGAGGTGTCTTCTCAGTGAAATGCCACCCTGAGAAAGCTGTGGCTGTTTGGCTCGTGGTCAGCTCTGGTCCTCCCAGTCCTGGGCTAGCCCTAGCATTGCATTGCTAGGATCTGATGATCTCTCTTGCTGTTCTGGGAACACGAAGCAGAGCTGCCCATGTCACCTGTTCAGGTGTAGCACTGAGCTGAATTGGGTTTGAGATAAATGTGTGGCCTGGCCTGCTCCTTGGTCTGTCCCAAATCCCTTCAGACTGGGGTATCCCAGCCCCTCCCCCCCTCACATCAGAGGATAAGCCTAAAGTCAGCAAGGGTGGCCAGGGCTCCTAGACTCTGCCAGCACCTTCAGGAACCATGACTTCCCCCTAATTCCTCTTTGTGTCTGCAGACTTTTTACTCTGCTATCATAGACCTGTGTGACAACGGTGGGAAGCGTCCCCCCTCCAGCATGGGGGTTGGCTTCACCAAAGAGCAGGCAGATGCCATTCGCAGGATCCGCAACAGCAAGGACAGCTGGGACATGCTGGGGGTCAAACCTGGAGCCACAAGGTGAGGGAGACTTTGACTCACTTGACTGGCTGTCCCTCACTTTTCTGACCAAGCAGGCTGGTTGCATCTGTGATCTGTCACCTGCCTGGTTAATATTGCAGCCGGGCACAAGCAGTTTGTACCTGGCCAAAAAACTGAGGCAGTGCAAAAGAAACCCTCGGCCTGAGCACCAGATTTCCCCTTTTAACAGACAAGCGAGGCTGGAGGCAAGGGGGGAGTGACCAGCATGAGAAATTCAGCCCTGCCAGCTGCCTGGCCCTGCATCCTGCCTCCAGGCTGAGTCGTCTCTGGTCACTCACTTGCCAGATGTGTTTGGAGCAGCTCCAGGTTTACATTGCCTGCTCTCTGAGCCTGGAGAAGCTTTTAAGCTGCTCTGAGTCTGCCACCCACATTATCAAACAAGGGATTGATGCTACAGCTCTTCCACCTGGAAACAGTACTCCCACAAGACAGGTTTTCCTATGTCTTCCTCAGAGGACCTCTGGCCGGGTGAATTGATCATTGCCTCTGTAAGAGGTTGAATATTGAATCTCCCGGTTTTGCTGTATGACTTGGGCAGCTAAAACAAGGTCCCCGAGCTATGCCTTGCTTTCTTTACTCTGAAATACAAGGACTACCCTCATGTACTCCTTGCAGACGGGCTGGAGGGTGGATTTTTGTAACATCTGTCATTCAGGACTTGTTCATCCTTCTGTCAGCCCTGTGAAATGGAGGTGTTGAGCCTAACCCCTCCTCCAGTCCCCTCCCATCCCTAGGGAGAGATCAGCAGCTCTGCAGGGCAGTTTGTGCTGCAGTTGCCAGCACAGATTGACTCCCCTCCCTCAGGAGGTGCCCCCTCTCTCCACGGCCTGCAGCTAGAGCCAAAATGTCTGCCTTGGACCAGACACCCAAGGCTGGAAGGGCTGAGGTGGCGTGTGAAGCCTTCACCCAGCGTGCGTAGGTGGTTTGATGCGGAGCTGAGTCAGGGCGTGGATGCCCCCACACTGTCTCCCAGCTTTCTGCTCTTGTGGTGCCAGAGACTCAGCACACCACAGTATGTGAGGCAGGCACGTGTCTGCCATGCTGGGAGCATTCGTGTTAGCACAGTGGAGAGGGTGTATTTGCCCCAAGAGAGGGCTTCTACCCTTTCTCTTCTGTTCATACCTCACCAAGAAGTGCCCTGTCTGCTTTTCCTCAGCCCCCAAAGTGTGGAGCTCCTTAGTCCCCAAAGGGAAAGGGTTCAAAAGTGCTTGCACAGGGGGGTCTAGCATGGAGGAAAGCTCCTGCCAGAGGGGCTGTGTGTCCTGTGGATCCCCTCACTCCTGTGTGTCTCCCAGGGATGAAGTGAACAAAGCCTATCGGAAGCTGGCCGTGCTGCTCCACCCTGACAAGTGTGTGGCTCCTGGCAGTGAGGACGCCTTCAAAGCGGTGGTGAACGCCCGGACCGCGCTTCTCAAAAACATCAAGTAGGGAACAGAGCCACTCCGAGTTGGAAACCTTCCCCTCTCCTCCCAGCTAGCCCCCAGGCAGCTGTGGGACGTCCCTCTCCTCCTCACGCTTCACCAGTGACATGATGGACATGGAGGCTCCCAGCACCAGCCACAGAAGCAAGACCTCATCCGTCTGTAGTGTGCTCACAGTGGGCTCTGAAGGAGGCAGAGTGCTGAGGAGGGGAGAGGGACCCCAGAGCCCTTCCTGCATGCGTGGCCCCTGGTCGTTGTTGGCATCAGTGCTGAAAGCAGGGAGGTCCTGGTCACCTCCTGGGAGTTAACAGCCTTGTGGAGGGTTTGGAGGTGTGGATGCAGTGAGGACAGAGTGAGATCTCACCTGAAAGCTGGTTGAGCTGACAGCATTGGTGTCACGCATGGAGGGCACCCAGGAAGGCAGGGGGGTGTGAGTCCTGGGTTATCCTGGAGCTGCCTCTGGAAGGCTGCACCAGGGCAGTTCATCTTCTCAGTCAGAGCTGGCTCCTTCCAGCTGACACCCAAGGATGCTGCTTTTGACAGGAAAAGGAGGGTTGCTTCAGGAAACCTCTGGTACTGCACAGAGAAAGTGACCCAAGAGTGTCCTTTTCCCTTTCCTCTCCCAGCTGTTGTGGTGCCAAGAACAGTCCCTTTGGCAGGACTGGCACTCTCCCCCAGGAACCCACCATCTCAGCATGAAGTCTCCTGCCATAACCTCCTTCCACCTGCCTGAGCAAAACTCACCCAAAAGAAGCCCCTAAGGCTGCAAGACCTCAACCCACCTGCTCCCTCTCTCCCGTCCCTCTGCTCACACCAGACCGGTGAGGTCTGGGTAAGTCCCTTGCCAGGGACAGTCCTCAACTGTGGCTGCTGTCCTCCCTGGCTGTTTGCAAGCAGGAGAAGGTTGCTGACCCAAGGAGGAGGCAGTTCAGCCCCCAACATGGCTGCCTGCCAGCTCTCCCCTTCCTCCCCACAGGCAGCCTCCTCTTCTCCCACCCTGCAGAGCTGTGTGGGTGCCTGCCATCTGCCTGCTCACTTGGCCCCACCACACTCTGGGGTTGGGTGAGTGGTGGAGGGGGCATGTTCTTCCCCAGCCCTCCTTTCTCACAGCAGCAACACGTTGACTCACTTTGCTGCTTGTGTTCCAGTTGCTGATCAGCAGCTGAGTGTGAGTTGCTCCCTCCAGGTCTGTTGTTCTCTTTGAATAATCTTTTTTATTTAGAGGGGAGTGTTGCTGGTCACCCCAAGAAGTTCTTGGGTTCTGCTCGTTGTGATCCTGAGGGAGTCAGAGACATGATGGCTGCTAGGTTCTTTGAGGAGACCAAACCAGGGATCCCTTGGGCTCCTGTGATTTTGTCAGCATCCAGTTTCATTACCTTGCTGTTGTATGAGCTCAACAGGGGGGGTCAGGACACTAAGCTGTGAAGTGAAAGCCACCAAGTGTGTGCAGATGTATCCTTACTCCATCCTACAGGTATCCCATTCAAAAGTCATTTCTCCTATGGTCAGTGCAATATTTTTTTTCACTTCAAGGCAGCTTTTTTGTGTTTCTCCTTCAAAATATAAATCAACGGTAGATCCCCCCCTTTTTTTTTTGACATTTAGGGACTTTAAAGCCAGTATCATTTTGTTCTTGCTCTGGTTTCTGGTGCTGGGTTGCTGGGAAGAAGAAATAAGCTGTCTTGCTAGCAAGCACGTTTTGCTACTCCAGTTTAGAAATAACCAAGGGAAGATGTTGCTACAAGAGGTTAATGTTTGAAGTAGCTCAGTTTTTTCCATTTTTCCTCTCACAGATGCATAAAGAGCTGAGCTGGGGGAGGTGAACAGGGCAGGCATTGGAGCTGCAGCAAGTTACAATGGCAGGGTTTTGTTCAAGTGTTTTATAATGTTATGGAGTTCACTGGAAACCTCCCCACTTGTCTCATGGAGGAAACCACTTAATTCTGGCTTCAAACCTATTTCTCTGGGTTCTTTTTCCTCTGATGGGGGATAAATAATCCTGTTGCTGGATGGTGCAGTTCACACTGAGGGTTAGATCTCAGCGCCTGGAGTGGTTTAAAGCCTTTCTCAGTTCCTGCTGTTCAGGGGCTCTCCAGGTCCCTTGTGCCATGTACAGTCCCTCTTTTTTGCTCCTCAGGTAACTCTGGCCACTGTTCTTGGTGTTTCTTCTGTCGGTTTACCAAGCTGACCAGATGTTTGGAGACTATTACACATGCATGTCACGTCTAGCGATGCTGGTGACCTTCTAGGTTGTGTTATTTTTATAAATTAAACTCCCCCTTTGGAACAAAGGAAGCCCTGTGAGCTGTCTTCCCACAGTGACTGCCTGCTGTTAATGTTTAATTGCCCTGTGACTCATTTCTCTCCTCCCCAGCTGGGTCTGGCTGAGGCTGGTGGTGAAGAGCTGCCCCCCAAGGGTGATGATGAAGGGTGTCCATCAACTCAACAGGAGTGGAAGCTGGATAAGGGACTAGGGCAGCCCTGGAACCTCCATGGAAACATGATGTGGAATGCATCCAGCTGTGGTGGCACCTGGCTCTGGTCAGGGGACCCAGAGGAGTAGCTCCATGCTTGCTCCATGCACACACACCTCCACACCATCAGCCCCAGTCATGTGCCTTCTCCATGCCGTCTCCATCAGAACCCCAAACTCCAGATCCTACCATCCAGGCTCTGTCTCTTGCCTATGACTCTCACATCCTCCTGCCTTTTGCCAAGAGTGAGTCCTGCTGCTGAGATGTCTGTCCTGAGACAAAGATGCTGGGATCCAAGTCCCAGATTAAAGGATTTTCCATTCAGCATCTAGAAACACATCCAGAAGCCACCTCTGGAGCTCTCAAGAACAGGAAGCCTTCCTCGATGTGCCTGGAGGTGCTGCACTGCCTGCCTCCCAGCACTCTGGCAGGCGGGGAGGACACAAGGATTCCTGGTCTGGCCCTGTGCCTGACAGCTGTCTGCTCCTTGCTGCCACTTCAGGCTAATACATCCTGGAATGTTCCCAAGCAGGGCCCTGGGGAACCAACCAAAGCCTCCCCTGAGATCAGGCTGTACCCATCCTGGCTCATGGACCAGTGCTGAGTCCCCTTGCTGGCCTTCAGACCAGTTGACCTTCCCCTCCAGGATGGCCAGCCTGGGATGGGTTGGCCTGCGCTCCCCAGGGCAGGTGGCCAGGGCTCATGTCCCTGTCCCCTGTTGGCCATAGCATGGACAAGGCTGTTCAGCCCAGCCCCTGCAGTGGGATGGGAATTACCCCAAGCACACACAAAACCTCCAGGAGGCATTAGGGCTCTGATTTTTTCTCAAAGGGAGAAGTGCCTTGCAGGTCTTGCACCTGGGAACACACAACCCAGGAGTGCAGTTCAGACTGGGATCCTCCTGGCTGGAGTGCAGCCCTATGGAAAGGAACCTGGGGGTCTTGGTGCATTAACAAGGGCATCACCTGCAGAGATCAAGAAATCATCATCTCACTCTGCTCAGCACTTGTCAGACCACAGCTGGAGTATTGTGCTCAGTTTTGGTGCCTGCCCCACAAAAAGGATGTGGACAGGCTGGAGAGGGTCCAGAGAAGGGCCACAAGGATGATCAGAGGACTGGAGGACCTGCCATATGAGGAGAGGATGAATGAACTCGGTTTGCTCAGCCTTGAGAAAAGAAGGCTTTGGGGACACCTTATTACCATGTTCCAGTACTTAAAGGGTGGCTGCCAAGGGAATGGAGACTCCCTCTTTACAAAGAGTCACATAGAAAAGATGAGGAGTAATGGGCACCAGTTGCTCCTGCGGAGATTCCAGTGGGACACAAGAGGTACATTTTTCACCATGAGGATAATCGTACATTAGAATAGTCTCCCAAGGGTAGATTTTCCCACATTGGACAGCTTGACAGGGTGCTGAGCCATCTCATATAAACCATAGTATTACCTAGAGAGGTTGGACCAGATGATCCTCGAGTTCCCTTCCAACCTGGCATTCTATGATTCTATGGTTTTGATCTTAATTACTGCACAGAAGCAATTTGTTCCCCTGGTAAAGAAGCCAAGATGGCCTCCTGGTAGAGCTGCTGGGGTGAGGACAGGCAGGAGTGTGGTGCCTCAGTAATGCAGCAGCTTGGTGGGGCTGAGTGTGCTAGTTCTGGGTATCAGGGAGACCTCCTCACAGCATGGTCCAGGGCTGATGCAGAACATCTACAGCTAGTTTTCCAGATCCAGGTGTGTAAGAGGAAAAATTGAGGAAAAACTTGACTTTGAGGGTGACGGAGCACTGGAACAGGCTGCCCAGAGTGGTTGTGGCGTCTTCTCTAGAGATACTCAAAACCAGCCTGGATGCCAACCTGTGCAACCTGCTCTAGGTGAACCTGCTTGGCAAGGAGATTGGATTAGACGATCTCCAGAGGTCCCTTCCAACCCCCATCACTGTGATTTTATGAAGATGAGACCAGGCATCAGCTGAAACAGAGAGGGCAAACTTTGGGAAGAGGTTTCAATGGAGCATCAGTGAGACTGGGTGTGATTTGGGTGGTTTAAATGAAGGGGGATGTGCAGTGGGGATGCTGTGGGTTTCTTCTCTCCACTGAGGATGTGATACGGTGGCTGTGACCCCAGAGAGGGCCATGAGGTGAGTGGAGCTGGGCAAAGGACAGCCTGGTTATGGGTGCATGACCCAGCGCTCTGCTTACCCCCTGGGGTTGGGGTTCCTGGCACCTATAGAGCCCCAGACTGGTTTGAGTTGGAAGGGACCTTAAAGATCATAGAGTTTCAACCTCCTGCCATGGGCAGGGACACCTCCCAGTAGAGTTGCTCCAAGCCCCATCCAACCTGCCCTTCAACGCTGCCGGCGATGGGGCAGCCACAGCTGCTCTGGACAGCCAGGGTCTCACCACCCTCACAGCAAAGAATTTCTTCCTCAGATCTCATCACAATCTCCCCTCTTGCAACTTGAAACCGTTCCCCCTCATCCCATCACTCCCTGCCCTTGTCCCTCCCCAGCTTTCCCGTAGCCCCAACAGCTCCGTGTAGTTGTTGTGTTGGGGACCCCAGAACCGGACCCAGCTCTGCTGGGGGTCTCACCAGAGTGGAGCAGGGGGGGGACAATCCCCTCCCTCGACCACGCAGCAAACGGTCACCCAGTGAGGCCACTTGGTCCAAGGGTCCCCATGGGGTGCAGCCCTGGGGTCTGCGAGCCGGCGGAGGGGATAATGAGGAGGACGGAGTAAGGAGCAGAAATGCAGCAGCTTCTCCAGGACTCGCCGGCATCGAGAGGGTTACGGGAGGTGGAGACGCAACGGGACGCCCCGGTACCGGCACA